ATTGTAATTAGTATGCTGTTTATTGCATTCCTTTTACCTTTCCTTGAGAATTTGCCTTTTCCTTCAATTGTTTGCATTGGTATCTTTTGAATTTCCTCTCTCTTATTTATTTTTTGGCATAAATAATAATTTGTGCTACAGCAGGAGCTTGATAAAGCTTTTTATTATGTTCTCTTTTGTCCAACAGCAATCATGAGGAACAAAAAAGACTAAGCACTTTGTCCACAATTACACAATAAAATAGAACCAAAACGTTCAATACAATTTTATATTCATAGTTTTCCACACTTGAGGGGTTTTTTAAAGGAACAGAGCTCTTGTTTATCCACGTTGACTATTTTTGTGAAATTCTTTGGATTCTATTTCTGTATGTAAATTTTAATTTCTCTTTACTTCTTATGCATGTGTTTTCTTTTTAAATGTTTTTCTATGCCTATATCTTCATTTCTTACCATTTTAGTTTATAGATGTCATGCAATAAACATGTCCTTTTCAAGGAATAGCCTTACCGAGCTACATGTTCAAAGTATAAAAGATGAAGCTTGGCCGTCTTTGCCTCCAAGGAGCACTCTGGCTGCAGTTTTTCCTAGGTTTATCTGTTTGTTCCTTTGGCCATCCATAGGATATTAAGCACTCTTCTCCAACACTACAACTCAAAGGCATCAATTCCATTATCCTTATTCATTGCCCAGCTCTCTGATGCTTAGCAGGTGATTGAAAAGACCATGATTTGAATTAGGTGCACCTTAGTCTTTAAACTGACATCCGAGAGGTCACTGACAGCAGCCTTGCCTAATGCAGTATGTCTCCTAACTTCCAAATTGCTAGTATCAAGGGTGTTGATTGTTGATCAAAGCAAGAGGAAATCATTAACCGTTTCAGTACTTTATCCACCTATTGCACTGTTGATTATTGGTCTTATGGTGAGGAGCTTTGTTGTTTTATTTTTGTTTTTGTTTTTGTTTGTTTTGGTGTTGAAATCCAAAGGTGTAGTCTTTGTTCTTCTATAGCAAGCATTTCGTATCCTCTTCACTTTCAGCGAGCAAGGTTGTGTCATCTGTATAACACAGGCTGTTGATGAGTCTACCTCCTATCCTAATGCCACATTCCTCTTCATGGAGTTCAGCTTTGTGAATTATTTGCTCAGCATACTGACTGAATAAATAGGGAGAAAGCATGTACACCTTTTGTGATTTTAAAGCATGCAGTGTTCCCTTGTTTCATTCAAATAGTATCTTCTTGATTAAGGTATAGATTTTCTATGAGGATAATTATGTGTTTTGTTTTTCCCATTCTTCTCAATGTTAGCTTAATTTGTTCTAATAAACACAGTCGAATGCTTTTGCATAGTCAATAAACCACAAATAGACATTCTTCTGGTGTTCTGTGCTTTCATCTAGGATCCATCTGATATCAGCAATGATATTTATGGTGTCATAGCCTCTTCTCAACCCAGCTTGAAATTCTATTAGATTTATGTTAACATCCTCAGCAATCTTTTGCTTGCATATGATATTAATGACATTGTTCAATAAATTTCACATTATGTTGGGTCACTTTTCTTGGGAATGAGGACTCTAGTCAGTCGGCCAAGGACCTGATCTCCAAATTTTCTGTCATAAATTGGCAACTACATCTATACTGCATCTGTTAGTTGAAACATATAAATTGGTATTCCATCAATTTCTGGGGACTTCTTTTTTTGCCAGTGACTTGAGTGAAGCTTGAACTTCTTTCATCATTACCAATTGCTCTTATTCATGTGGTATTTTCTGAAATTTTTCAGTGTCAGCTAATTGATTTTTGGTATAGTGATTATTTGCTTCCCTTCCATTTTCTTTTGATGTTTTTTAGATCATTCAAGATTTTGCCCATAGCTTCTCTCAGTACTCCAACATGAGGCTTGAATTTGCTTTTCAATTCTTTCAGCTTAAAAAATGCTGAATGAGTTCTGCCCTCTTTATTATCTGACTCCATCTCTTTGCACATTTTGTGATATTTTGCTTTATATTCTTGAGCCTCCCTCTGAAATCTTCTGTTCAGCTCTTTTACTTTGAAATCTCTTCCTCTAATGCAATTTTCATAATCTCTACTGACATATATTTTCCTTTTACTTTGTAATAACATTTTGCTCTCTTCATGGATGATACATTTGATGTCCCACTACAGTTCCTCTGGTCTTAAGTCACCAGAGTTTAATGCCTCAAAACTGTTCTTGAGGTGATTCTTAAATTTAACTGCAATGGACTCAAGGTTATATTTTGGTTCCTATAGACTAATTTCTATTTTCTTCAGCTTCAGTTTAAACTTGCACATGAGTCATTGATGGTCTATTCCACAATCAACACCTGGTATGGTTTTGACTACAGATTTTATCCTTCTTCAATAACTGTTTTTGTAAATATAGTCACTCTTATTCCTGTGTAGTCAATCAGGTGAGGTCCACATATAAAGCTACAATTTTGGGTTTTTTTAAGAAGGTATTTGAGTGCACAAGTCAATAGTAAATGTATTAATCTCACGTTATAAAAGTTGGAGGAGCTCTGGTGGCTTAGTGGTAAGGAATTGTGGTGCCCAAACAAAGGTATATGGTTTGAATCCGTCAGCTGCTCCCCAGGAGAAAGATGGCTAATCCCTTCCCGTTTGATTACTGCCTCTGAAAACCCACTAATGCCACAAGCCTTCTGGGAATTGCTCTATTACCTCCGTTGTTCTTCTTCTCAAGGACACTTTTAGGGAGCTCTGGTGGCCTAGTGGCAAGAAGCTGCACTGCGATCCTAGAGGTAGGCAGTTCGCATCCACCAGACGCTCTCCTGGAGAAGGAGGGACAATCTCCTCCTGTACCAGTCAAAAATTAAAATAAATAAAATAAAATAAAATGTTGAAAAGGAGCATGAACAGATAATTCTCAAGAATAAGGACCCACAATTGAATAAGTCACATAAAATGTATTTATCTTCCTCTCTAATCAAGTAAGTAATAATTGAAACAATTGGTCATTGTTGCTTTGTTGTTGCTAGGTGTCATTGAGTATAATTCATAGAAACCCTGTGAACAACTGATCAGAGCACTGTTCTATCCTGTAGCATCTTCACAATCTCTAACACACTTAGGTCTGTTGCTACAGTCACAGTGTCAAACCATTTCCTCTCTTTCACCATTCCTCTATCTTTCCAAGCATGATGTCCCCTCCAAGGAATAACCTATCCTAGAGGCAATGGTGATAAAGGAGGAAGTTCAGACTGTTCTGAAGAAAATGGAAAAAAAACAAGTCCTCAGGAATTTATGGAATTTCAATTGACATATTTCAACAAACAGATTCTGCCCTGGACATGCTCACCAGTTTGTGCCAAGAAATCTGGAGGACAACTACCTG